CTGGAAGTTTCCCAGGCGTTTTCAATGTGCAGCCACGTTTGGGAACTGTCTAGTCTAGAACTTTGCGTGCCTGAGGTCTGCGCTGGGAGAACTGGCTTTGAAAAGACGCCGACAAGCCGTCATTTTGTAGCTAAAGGTGAAGCGGATGGCGTCGGGGCAGAAGGACCCAACGGGGGCTGTGGCTCCCAGGGACCTTCGGGTCTGGCAACCACCGGCACCCCCAACCCCCCAGGCTGGGACGGAGCCACTGCCCGCACCCGCGGAGGCCTCCAGAGCAGGAGGCGGGAGCAGCAGCTCTGAGCCCGGCTTGGGCACCAGAGGGAGCTCGTGGGGACGCGCCACGGCTCCAGCCCCGCAGCTGGTTCAAACTGGTTTGGGCAGGGTGCGGCCTGGGCGGGCGGCATTCCAGGCCCCAGGCTCGCGGCTGTCGGGGCCTCCCCAAGGGCTGCAGACCTGGGCCCGGGAGCAGCAACGGCAGGGCCCCGGGGCAGGCGCCCAGCACCCTGAGAGGCAGCGGGGGTGTTGGAAAGCTCCACGCGCTTTGTGTGAAGTCATTACTTGGCCTCCCACGGGGTCCCCGACTAACGCGGGCAGCGCGGCGGAGCCCCCGGGTGGGGGTGACTCTCAGACCTCAGCGCGCAGTGGAATCGATGCCCAGCTTGGGAAGCGCGGGGGGCCCAGCGCCCCCGTCACCACACGGCCTGATTCAGAACGCCCGGGGTGGGCTTCTGGGCATCCGTATGTTTAGCAAAATATTTTTAAGGTACAATCACACATTGAGGAAAAAAGGCTAGAAAGAAAATGATTGTCAACCCGCCAACCTGGACATTGGTGAGGGTCACAGAGACCCCTTCCCCAGACCTCCTGTCCCCAGGGAAGAGGATTCGGGCAATTAACGCTTTTAGCTAATATCCCGGGTTTTATGTGTGTGTATATATATATGTATATATATATATATATGCAATTTTGTTTTTCCTTTTTCTTTTCTTTCTCTTTTTTCTTTCTTTCTTTTTTTTTTTTTTGAGGCGGAGTTTTGCTCTGGTTACCCAGGCTGGAGTGCAATGGCGCGATCTCGGCTCACCGCAACCTCCGCCTCCGGGGTTCAGGCAATTCTCCTGCCTCAGCTTCCTGAGTAGCTGGGATTACAGGCACGTGCCACCATGCCCGGCTAATTTTTTGTATTTTTAGTAGAGACAGGGTTTCACCATGTTGACCAGGATGGTCTCGATCTCTCGACCTCGTGATCCACCCGCCTCCGCCTCCCAAAGTGCTGGGATTACAGGCGTGAGCCACCGCGCCCGGCCTTCTTTTTTTTTTTTTTTTTTTTTTGAGACAGGGTCTGGCTCTGTCACCCAGGCTACAGTGAAGGATTGCTCCTGGCTCACTGCAGCCTCGACCTCTGGGCTCAAGCAGTCCTCCCACCTTAGCCTCCCAAGTAGCCGGGACCACAGGCATGTACCACCACTCCTGGCTAAGCTTCGTATTTTTTGTAGATACAGGGGTTTCACCACGTTGGCGAGGCTGGTATCAAACTCCTGGCCTCAAGTGATCTGCCCGCCTCAGCCTCCCACTCCCAAAGTGCTGGGATACAGGCGTGAGCCACAATGCTAAACTGGCTTTTTTTTTTTTTTTTTTTTTTTTAATGAGTCATTTTAGACATTCACACAGTTTTGATATTGTTACAAACATCAGCCAAAGAAGTAAAACATTCCAAATATTGAAATCCCTCTCAGCCAAACACGAGGTCAGGAGTTCAAGACCAACCTGGCCAACATGGCAAAACCCCATCTCTCCTAAAATTACAAAAATTAGGAGTGGTAACACGCGCCTATAATCCCAGCTACTTGGGAGGCTGAGGCAGGAGGATCACTTGAGCCTGAAAGGTAGAGGTTGCAGTGAGCTAAGACGGTATCACTGCACACCAGCCTGGGTGATAGAGACTTGGTCTCAAAAAAAAAAAGAAAAATTAAATCCCTCTTGGGCCAGGTGTGGTGGCTCACACCTGTAATCCCAGCACTCTGGGATGCCAAGGCTGGTGGGTCACTGGAAACCAGGAGTTCGAGACTAGCTCGAAACCCGTCTCTACTAAAAATACGAAACTTAGCCGGGCTTGGTGGTGCTTGCTTCTGTAGTCCTGGCTACTCAGGAGGCTGAGGCAGGAGAATTGCTTGAACCCGGGAGGCGGAGGTTGCAGTGAATTAAGATTGTGCCACTGCACTCCAGCCTGGGCAACACCACAAGACTCTGTCTCAAAAAAGAAAAAGAAAAAGAAATCCCTCTCATACCCCTCCCCAGTTTCTTCTCCCCCACCCTAAAGGAGCCACTGTGGGAACACGGGTGCCTCGTTCGCATGCACAGCTTTGTACTTTGCTCCATCTGTCGGTGTCCATAAACAATATACAGTGTGGTTCTGCATGGTTTCAAAACTGTGCTAATGGCACAGTGCCCTGCAGAGTCTTCTGCTTTTTTTCCCCTTAGCTTTATGTTTCTGAGATTTAACTGCCAGGAGAAGTTTGCTGTGCTCAGGTCAATTGGCCAATATGAGGCCAGTCCGGGGCTCTTTGTGGGGGATGCCACCCAGCAGCGGGCATGGGCACAGGTCTGAAACTGGCTCCTAGGGGATGTCGAGGAGGGCTTGGAGCATCAGGGAAATCACCGCAGTGACGAATGGTCAAGTGTGGGCTCAGTGAGTTCCTATAAAACCCTTAAGCACAAATACTTGAGGCCCAAGTCTCTGCCAAGAATTTTCCAGAAAATGACTTTGGTCTGAAGGCCTGGGCATTTGGATAGGGAGAAATTAACAGTGGGCAGAGTTGGAAGTGGGAATTGTGCAGTGATGGACACAAAAGACAGATCAAATGTGTGTTGTTTAGGCCCCACCTAGGGTTGCCAACTACAATATCATTTCAGATTTAACGGAGAGGAAGGTGTGAGATGGCCTGTTTGTTTATTTGCACCCTTGATACCAGCCCCCCTTTAAAAAAAAAAACCGGTCGAGCATGGTGGCTCACACCTGTAATCCCAGCACTTTGGGAGGCTGAGATGGGCGGATCGCCTGAGGTCAGGAGTTCAAGACCAGCCTGACCAACATGGAGAAACCCCATCTCTTCAAAAAATACAAAATTAGCCTGGTGTGGTGGTGCATGCCTTAATCCAAGCTACTGGGGAGGCTGAGGCAGGAGAATCACTTGAACCTGGGAGGCGGAGGTGGTTGTGGTGAGCCGAGATTGCGCCACTGCACTTCTGCCTGGGCAACAAGAGTGAGACTCCATCTCAATTAAAAAAAAAAAAAAAAAAAGAGAGAGACAGGGTGTGTTCTTGTTCACTGTGTCAGGTAGGCTGGAGTGCAGTGGTGCGATCATAGCGCACTGCAGCCTCAACTCCTGGCCTCAAACAATCCTCCTGCATCTGCCTCCCTAGTAGCTAGGACTACAGTTGTGCACCACCACACTCTGCAATTTTATTTTTTTTCTTTTATTATTATTATTTGAGAGATGGAGTCTCCTTACGTTGCCCAGGCAGCTCAGCTTCAACCCCCCCCCCCCCTTTTTTTTTGAGACGGAGTCTCGCTCTGTCGCCCAAGCTGGAGTGCAGTGGCAAAATCTGCACTCACTGCAACCTCTGCCTCCCTCTGCCTCCCAGGTTCAAGTGATTCTCCTGCTCCACCCTCCTGAACAGTTGGGATTTACAGGCGCATGTCACCACGCCAGGCTAAGTTTTTTTATTTTTTTGTAAGTAGAGACAGGGTTTCACCATGTTTGTCAGGCTGGTCTCAAACTCCTGACCTCGTGATCCACCCACATCGGCCTCCCAAAGTGCTGGGATTACAGGCGTGAGCCACCTTGCCAGGCAATCATTTTTTTTTAAAGCCAATTTAACATTTAAAGAAAAGTCATCAGGCCGGGTGAAGCGGCTCACGCCTGTAATCTCAGCACTTTGGGAGGCTGAGGCGGGTGGATCACTTGAAGTTAGGAGTTCGAGACCAGCCTGGCCAACATGGCGAAAACCCATCTCTACTAAAAAAATACAAAAGTTAGCCACGTGTGGTGACTGGCACCTGTAATCGCAGCTACTCGGGAGGCTGAGCAGGGAGATAATTGCTTGAACTCGGGAGGTGGAGGTTGCAGTGAGCTGAAATCGCACCACTGCACTCTAGTCTGGGCGACAGAGTGAGACTGTCTCCAAATAAATAAATAAATAAATATTATCAAACAAAAATCAAAACTCTAGATTTTTCTTATGCCTGTTTGCCTTTTAGTACTTTCCTCATTAGCACTGCTGGGGTGGGAGAAGGGGTGCGCCTCTCTCTCTTCAGCCCTAGGGCCTGTAAAGGGTCTAGGCCAGCCTCCGAGGGCGTGGAGGGCGTGGGGGGCAGTTGTCAAATTTAGTGTGCTCAATCGTTTCCTGGTGAAGCTTATTTTAAAAGCTGCCCCTAGGAGGAAGACGAGGATCACTACACTCGGGCTGCCCTACCTTCTAGGACCCTCCGCGCGCTGCAAACCACATGCTCTAGTAGGATGGGAACCGGCCGCGGGGGAGGCGGGGAGCAGCTTTGGGCTTCCTCTAAGATAGCGCCTCTCTAACCCCGACGCCCGTTGGAATCACCTGGGGAGCTTTAGAAACTACTGATGCCCAAGCCCCACCCCGAAGGATTCTGACTTATTCGGCGTGGCTCGAGGCGTGGCTCCCGGGCTTTTAAAAGCTCCCCGGGGATTCTATTGTCGGCGGGGGCCGGGAGCTCGTGCTCTACCGGGATTCCGATGGGGAGGGGTGGCTTACCCCAGTAGTTCTCAAATTTAGCTTTGGTTCAACAATTTGGTTGGAACCACCTAGCAAACATCAAAAGATCCTGATGCCCAAGTCCCAACCCAGTGACTGTGTGGTCCGGGCTTGGGAAATTCTGAAGGAGCTCCAGGTGACTGCCATCTGCAAGCGAGTTTGCAAAGCCCTGATGCCCAGGTGCTGCGGGGGCGGGCGCAGCGCGCGGCTCTCGCCACTGGGTGGCGCTGCCCGCTCGGCCCGGCGCTCCTGGAGCCGCGAGCCGCCGCCGCGGTGAGCGCACCTGCCCCTCCTCCGCCAGGCGGGCCGCGGGGCATGCAGCGGGCCGGGGGCGGGGCTCTGAGGCCCGGGCGCAACTACGGGCTCCCAGGCAGCCTCCGCCAGCTGGACCCCGCCGCCCTCCTGATGCTCCTCGTGGACGGCGACCGGCCGGAGCCCATGCGCAGCGGAGCGCGCGAGCTCGCGCTCTTCCTGACCCCCGAGCCTGGGGCCGAGGTAGGGGACGGGGCTGTGGAGTTGCAGGAGAGGGGTCTCGCGGTGGGGGGTCCGGGCTCCGAATGGGGACCCTCGGCTTCGCCGGAGCATCCTTTCGCTCTCGGAGTTGGGGGTCCCGGGGATTCCCCTTTCCTGGAGGGTGGCTGCGGGGCGCCACCCAGAGATGCGCAGCGGGTCGTCCCTGCTCCCTCCTCCGGGCGACACCGGGCCCCGGAGGCCCAGGCTCGCCTTCCCTCCCCACCCAGGTCCCCCAGCATCCGCTGGGTCCCGAGACGCCGCCCTTCTCCAGGCCAGCCCTGGGGGAGGGGGACCCCGGGACCGCCCCTGCCCTGGCTGTCCCCGAGCGGTGCCCAGGTCGAGCGGCGCCGCAGCCTGCGGCTGTGCGGGAGCCCCGAGGCCGTGCTGCGCTGCTGCAGCTCGGAGCGAAAACACCACGCCTGTCTGCGCTTTCTATTTTAAAAGCACCAAATGAAAAGCAGATCCAAAACGAGACCCTCCACCTTCCGGCTGAAGGCATCTGTCGCGGTGCTGTGAGAAAGTTATTTACCCGAGTTCACTAGGAGTTGTATTTACGACCAGAAATTCAACCCATTTTCTTTTTAAACCACAAAAGCAGTTCGAGTATTTAAAATAGAGGCTGTGCACCCCTCTCTCTTTTCTCTCGCATCCTAATTCTGGTTTTCTTAGAAAACCGGCATTAGCGGTTTGGTGTAAATCATTCTGGACATTTAAAGTGCATTTACAGGGCCAGGCGAGGTGGCTCACGCCTGTAACCCTAGCACTTTGGGAGGCCGAGGCGGGCGGATCACGAGGTCCGGAGATCAAGAGCATCTTGGCTAACACGGTGAAACTCCATCCCTACTAAAACTACAAAAAAAAAAAAAAAAAATTAGCCGGGCGTGGTGGCAGGCGCTTACAGTCCCAGCTACTCGGGAGGCTGAGGCAGGAGAATCTCTTGAACTCAGAAGGCAGAGGTTGCAATGAGCCGAGATCGTGCCACTGCACTCCAGCCTGGGTGACAGAGAGAGACTTCGTTTAAAAAAACAAAACAAAACAACAACAACAACAAAAACGGCACTACAGATGTAGATTTGTGTATATCTGTATATGTCTAGGCAAAGTATTGGCTCATGCCAGTGGTCTCAGCATTCTGGGAGGCTGAGGCGGGAGGATGCTTGAGGTGGGAATGGGGATGGGGATAGTGGACAGGGGAAGGTTGAGGCAGTAGTGAGCCTTGATCATGCCACTGCACTCCAGCCTGGGCGACAGAGTGAGACTCTTTTTTAAAAATCTGTCTCGCCAGGTGTGGTAGCTCACGCCTGTAATCCCAGCACTATTGGGAGGCCGAGACTGGCGGATCACGAGATCAAGAGTTCGAGATCAGTCTAATCAACATGGTGAAACCCTGTCTCTAATAAATATTTTTAAAAATTAGCTGGGCATGTAGTCCCAGCTACTTGGGAGGCTGAATCAGGAGAATTGCTTGAACCAGGAGGCAGAGGTTGCTTGAGCTGAGACTACCATTGCACTCCAGCCTGGGCAACGAATGAAACTCTCTCAAAAAAATGCGTAAAATCTATCTTTCCATATATATATTTATTACATATATATATTTGTTTTTTTCTTTTTTTTTTTTTTTAACCAATTTTGGACAGAACAGTTTTTAGGTTTTTAGCGTTTTTTTTTTTTTTTTTTTTTTGAGACAGGGTTTCACTTTGTCACCCAGGCTGGAGTGCAGTGACACAATCAAACCTCAGTGCAGCCTCAACTTCCTGGGCTCACACGATCCTCCCACCTCAGCCTCCCACATTACCAGGACCACAGGCACACCACCACGTCAGGTTAACTTTTTAAACAAAGTTCTTTTGTAGAGACAAGGTCTTTATGTTGCCCAGGCTGGTCTTGAACTACTGGGACCAAGCGATCCTCCAGCCTCAGCCTCCCAAAGTGCTGGGCTTACAGGCTTGTACCATTGTGGCTAGCTGATTTATGCTAGTTTTATTATTATCTTTTTTTTTTTTTTTGAGATGGAGGTTTCACTGTTGTTGCTCAGGCTGGAGTGCAATGGTGCAGTCTCACCTCGTTGCAACCTCTGCCTCCCGGGTTCAAGTGATTCCCCTGCCTCAGCCTCCCGGGTAGCTGGGATTACAGGCATGCACCACCACACCTGGCTAATTTTTGTATTTTTAGTAGAGGTGGGGTTTCTCCATGTTGATCAGGCTGGTCTAGAACTCCTGACCTCAGGTGATCTGCCCACCTCAGCCTCCCACGGTGCTGGGATTGCAGAGGTGAGCCACCTCTCCTGGCCTATATTAGTTTTTTTTTTTTTTTTCTTTTATCTGGAAGTCACTGAGCTAACGGCCTATATGAGTTTTAAAGAAAACCTTGCTGCTGTAATACTGTCCTGCAACTTGCTTTTTTTTCTTTACTCAATCGCATGGGCAGATAGACGGGTGGGGACAGCAGTGGGAAGGTATGGGGCTTCGTTTTGGTGTGATGAACATGTTCTGGATGTTAGATAGTTGTGATGGTTGCACAAATTTTTGAATATACTGAAAATTGCTGAATCGTACACTTTAAAGGGATGAGTTTTGTGGTTTGTGAATTTTATCTCAATTTAAAAAGCAACATGGAGGCAGGGCACAGTGGCTTATGCCTGTAATTCCAGCGACTTGGGAAGCTAAGGTGGCAGGATCACTTGAGACCGGGAGTTCAAGACCGTTCTGGGCAATGCAGGGAAACCCGTGTCTCTACAAAAAATGTTCAAAGATAAAAATTAAAAACAATTTAAACATTAAAAATAATGTGAATATGTTTCCATAAACACTGTCTGATAGAAATATAATTGGAGCTACAAATGTGAGCCACCTATGTAATTTTTAGTGTTCTAGGAACTACATGAAAAACCGGTGGCCAGGCACCACGGCTCACGCCTATAATCCCAGCACTTTGGGAGGCCAACACGGGCAGATCACTTGAGGCCAGGAGGTTGAGATCAACCTGGCCAACATGGTGGAACCCCGTCTCTGCTGAAAAAAACAATTAACCAGGCGTGGTGATGCATGCCTGTAACCCCAGCTACTCAGGAGGCTGAGGCACGAGAACCGCTTGAACCTAGGTGGCAGAGGCTGCAGTGAGCTGATATCACGCCATTGCATTCCAGCCTGGGGGATAGAGTGAGACTCTGTCTCAAAAAACCAAACCAAACAACAAAGAAAACCCAGAAGAGAGAGGAAAAAAAGAAACAGTAAATTAATTTCAATATATTTAAGATAATAGTATATCTGAGCTGGGCGCGGTGGCTCACGCCTGTAATCTCAGCACTTTGGGAGGCCGAGGCGGGTGGATCACGAGATCAAGAGATCGAGACCATCCTGGTCAACATGGTGAAACCCCGTCTCTACTAAAAATACAAAAAATTAGCTGGGCATGGTGGCACGTGCCTGTAATCCCAGCTTCTCGGGAGGCTGAGGCAGGAGAATTGCCTGAGCCCAGGAGGCGGAGGTTGCGGTGGGCCGAGATCACGCCATTGCACTCCAGCCTGGGTAACAAGAGCGAAACTCCGTCTCAAAAAAAAAAAAAAAAAAAGTATATCTGGGCCAGGTGCAGTGACTCACACCTGTAGTCCCAGTGCTTTAGGAGGCCAAAGCTGGAGGATTGCTTGAGCTCAAGGAGTTCCAGACCAACCTGGGCAACATAGTGAGGCCCGTCTCTAGTTAATAAAAAATAAAAATAAAAAGTATATCCAAAATATTTCAACATGTGATCAATAGAAAAAAGTTAATGAAATTTCATATTCTGTTCTTTGTCCTGCGTTTTCCAAATCAGGCTTTTGACACTGACCTTTCAGTCTATCTCAACTTGGACTGGCCACATTCGAAGTGTTCAGTAGTCCCATGAGATGTGTGGCTTCCACGTCCTAGAGCCTGGGTCTCCGTGACTCTCTGACTTCCTAGTGTCCACGATGAAATGGTAATTGTACCCATTCCTGAGCACATACTGTGTGGCACCAGTTTGCCAAACTCTGTTCATGGCTTATGTCATTGTCATGGCAGTGACCCACTGACTGGGATAGGTGTTATGTCAATTTTATGGCTCAGCATATGGAGGCTCTCACAGGCTAAAGGAGGTCCTGTGGATGTAGTGTAACTGACGAATCCTTCATCAATGGTTCAGGGCTGCTGCGTTTTGCCAGGCAGGGTCCTGGGGAAGGCTCAGCGCTCCCCAGGCACACTTTGGTCTGGCATCCCAAGGACTCAGGGACAGACAGGTTGTCTGTGACTTTTCACTGTCTTTAGCATCCTGAGTGCGTTTTTTGTTTCTTCTCTCCCTTACTCTCGGCAGCAAGATGTCATTGTGCCCGGTGGCTAAGTCCCAGCTTCATTTTGTCTCTATTAGGAATAGTCTTTAGGAGAAACTGCGTGTATTAATTTCATTTTCTCACTCAGGGCTCTCTTTAGCTCAGTCACGGATTTGCTAATGCTCATTTGTAAGGGACGTGTAATAAAGAGCCCCAACTCCCTGTAGCTCCGTGCAGCAATAACCCACTTAACGCGCTTGCTGAAGTTTATTTACCAAAAGAGACAGAAACCGCGCCAGGGCAGAGCCGCGTGCAGCCTCCTCTTTTAAAGCTTAATTCATTAGCAGATCCTCAAGCTGGAACAGTTTCCAGGGGGGCAGATGAGCAGGAAAAGGGGAACCTGGTTTGCGAACAGGCTTGGACAGCAGCTTCCACCCTACCAGCCTGTCTCCCAGGGACACTTTGGCCTCTTCCACAGAGCAGTAGGAATCTCAGTCCGGTCAGCCCCAGCCCTGGGGAGTCCTGGGCCTCCCATGAAGTGGGGCCTGCTTCATTCCGCCTGTCTATGTTCCAAGTCCCTCCTGGAGCTGGAGACACCACAGGCAGTGAGACATGAAAGGCCCTTGCCCCATGGCACGGCCAGACAATAAACACGTAACAAGGCCAGATGCAGTGGCTCACACCTATAATCCTAGCATTT